TCAAGTCAGTAGGCCACCATCCCTTTTGCCCTGGCCTCACGGTTTGCTTGGTACACAGCTTTAATGGCCAAGTCGGAGACCTTGGTAATGAGGAGCCCTTCTGCCTTGGCGTTCTTAAGGGCCAACTTTACGATTTCCTGGTTCTCAGGCACCATGCCGTATAGGTCAATGGCAGAGTAATCTTTGTGGAACTCCAGGAGGAAGGACAAACCGTTGGTCGAGAATGGGGGGTCCCTTCGGCGGTAAACATCGATGATACCCTCGTCAGACTTCTCTGGGGTTACAGCTTTTGGCTCTTTGGAAGAGGTCGTTGCTTCACGGAGTCTCTGTCTTGCCGAGGACGCCACACCCTTGGGCCCTTAGTGCCAAGCTCCTCGGTCTCGGAGGTGTTGGCTGGAACGGACGGCTGGACGTCCGCAGCCGTCATTTGCTTCCGTCACTTAGAGCCTTCGACCTGGGTCGACTGCGCCTTGGCCTACTGAGCTTGCCTCTGCATTCTCCTCAGCTGGGTTTTCGTCAATGGCTCGGCCCTGCCCCCAAGCCGAGTGTGGTAACAGCGATCAACTTGCACTGCCGGAGGTCTGAAAGTTTTGATCTGCCTTGGGACGCCCTTTTCTTCTCGCCTGAACGAGACACTGTGAGTATGTGCCCCCAAATGATAAAAAACACTGCCTCACTAGGCCGCTGAACTTCCCTATATTCGGCTCGAAACTGGGCGTTGATCATGTTGATGCTAGGTGGAGGGAATGGCTCGGTGTCAACCTTCATGGCAGTCTTCTCCAAAAACTGGAGTTTCTTCTCGTCTATCAGCTTCTGAATAACATCCCGTAGGACAATGCAGTTGTTGGTGCTGTGAGACCAAGAGTTGTGGTGTTTGCAAAAAGTTTTCCCTTTGAGCTCCTCGGTTTTTGGAATCTTATGACCGAAAGACAACTTGACCTTCTTCTCGGCCAATAATATATCAAAAATCCCTTCAGCCCTTGTCAAATCAAAGGTGTAGGCCTTTGTTTCTCGGGTCACAAACTTGGTGTCGGGAATCTTCGTTCGGCCGTTGTCGGTCCTGACAAGTTCTTTGCAGACAAAAGGCTTGTCGATGCTGACTTAGGCCGAGCTAACCTCAACTTTTGCGTTCTCGGCCTCGGGATAACCGACGACGGGAGGCGTACCTATCCACTTTGTTGGTCAGGTTGTGCATGTCCCAAAACTCGATCCCCTGGAACTTCTTCCGGTACTCAAATTCCAACCCTTCTTTAGCCATTTTGATGAACTCCCTCTTTGGTAGGTTAGTTCGGCACCAATTCCTGCACATCTTAAACCGATGCAGGTAATCGCGGGGCACCTCACTTGATGCCTGGGTCATCCCTGCCAGCTTGACGACAGTTATCTCTCGATTGGTCTGGTAGAAGTGTTCATGGAATATCCTTTCCATGTCAGACCAGTCCCTTATCGAATTCGGTAAAAGGTTTATGAACCAAGAGAATGCCACACCAGTCAGGGAGTGAACAAATAATCGAAGCTTCTAGGTGTCCGAGTCGGCCTCCCCACACTGGGCCGTGAAACGAACTATATGTTCGATACAGGAGGTGTGCCCATCTCTGGAAAATAGCATGAATTTCGGCAGTCGATACCTCGGTGCCTCCGGCCGTATTCGAGCCAGGCCGTCCTCGATCATTCGCCAAACGTCTTCCACTCGAAGCCCTTGAGGGGGTGGTTCCAACTGGGCTACAAACGGCTGCTGGATCTGCTGCGCATAGTTTTGTGGTCTCACCTGCTGAGCTGTTTGAGCGAGGGGTTCGGTCGTGGCGACTGAGCCGAATTGCACTTGGTAAGCGTTGTGGGTTTGGCCGGGGTGCATTCGATCCGCCTGCCGTGGTGGTATGGCTATCTGACTATGCCGGATTGGGCCGCTCTAGAATTGAGAACCCAAATGCATCTGGGCCGTCGTCGGGATGATCGGGCCGCTCTGAAACTAGCAGCCAAATGGGAAGATTGGCGCCTGCAACGGTTGCGCGACGGTCAGACTAATTTGACCGTACTGCTGTGATGGCATTGCGGCCGTGTTGCTTGGGCCGGCCTGCATTTGCACGGCCAGAGTATGGATGGGGCCGAGTTGCTGGGCAGTGGAATATGAGGGCCTCCGCCGGGTAGGTCGGGCCGGGATTTTCCCATGTCTGCTGGGACTGCCCCTAACTGCCCATCGATGGCTGAGAATGTTGGCCATAGTTTGACGTCGGTGCGTAGCTAGCAACATCGAGACTGCTACCTTCCCCGTGGGGCTCTACCCTCTCGGGGTATTGCCTGCTTTGTCCGGCTCTGGGGGGCGTCGAAGGTGAGGTAATCGGCATTCTATCTTGAAAGAACACTCGCAAATCTGACAAAATGTTATCCATTGCGGCCATAAAGGACGTTTCTATCCTGTAGGCCTGCCTAGCCATCAGATCTTCCATCTGGCATCGCCCTTGTACGGATTCGGCCGTACAGGCCGTTGTCATTGGGATACTGGCCGAAGTGGTGACTGTTCGCTCGGTCTCGGCGGCCATTATTGGTGAAGTTGACTCAGGAGTCTCGGAAATCATTTCAATTCTCTTGTTCTTGAGCTTTGCCTGTGACCTAGTTTCCACCATAAGGTTTTGACAATAAGTCCCACTGGGCGTGCCAAAGATGTTGCCGCCGCAAATCTCACGACCTGGTTCTCCGAGCCAGGAAGATCTGCGTCAACACGGGTCATCTTTCTTCGGTGCGGTGCGGTTGTGCGCAGGCGTGTCAGCACGGTCTACCATGCATTCGAGGATGATGTGAATGGATGGATGGGTGAGTTATGCGCCTGTTTGAGTCTGACTTCCAATCATAGTGACTGTGGCCGGGAGAGGAACTAATCTCGGCCGTCAGGTTCACAGCCTGAGCTACAAGGCCGTTAATGATGGTGTTAATGGTGGATTTTTAGGTGGTGCTCCGGCGCGTTGCTGGATTGCAACGGTCATATAATATGTGGGATGGACGAAAAAATGACAAGGATGGTGCTCCGGAGCCCTGAAAAATCAAGGGTCGTTTGATATATTGATGGACGAATTTTTCTACAATCTGCCACTACTCCTAGGAAAACAAGTAAAGGTATTGAAAGTGCATTACAGGAAAATAAATGACAGAAACAAGAAGATATAACTTGCTCCGTCAGGGGCTTGTGTTTTTTGGTGTCGCCCTTGTAAATGTAGTTGGAGCTTGGTGTTTATAGAAGAGGCACTGGTAGGAAAGTGAGGCTGACATCTGCATGACGTGGTCGATCAGAAATAGTGGGTAATCTGGACAAACGTGAAGTATGGTGGTGTGACCCCCATAAATCTTGGTCGCCGCCCTGATCGTCGGCTCTGCGTCGTGGGCCTTGGAGGAGCATTTAATGTTCTAGTTTGATGGTTGGTGACTTAGTCTTACAAGTCACAAGATTTCGTGCCTAATCATCCTAATTTTACTCACTATATACTGACTCCAATTACTTCCCTTCTTCCCTTACGCATTAAATGCTTTTGGGCAGATCGTGGGATCTCTGCTGCAGTCAGGGGCATTACCTCATTAAATGAAGCGTGGGACCTCACTGACACGTGGCAACGCCTCTTGGCCTTTCCACTTTGGCCGTGTATTTGAGGGATTACTATTTTCTTCGTTCAAGCTCACCGTGGCCGTGATGATTTCCCCTTCATAGATCTCCCTTATTTTTCGAGAAAAAGCGAATGACAACCTTTTAGGCAGGCGCCTTGGCTGAGAGGTTGTTACTTCGGTTGGCCTTACAGGCCGAGATTTTTAGGCACAAACAGACGCCGTTTTGGTCAACGTGCTTTTAAATAAATAAAAAATAAAAAAAGTTGGGCCAAAACGACGCTGTTTTGGCCGGCATGTTTTTTCACCAAAAAAAAAAAAAAGCAAAAGCGCTGGGCAGCTTCTTCTTGCTCAGACAACAACCTTCTCCTTCAACCATTCATAGAGTCACACAACCATTAAAGGGGACCTTCTACCTTGCTTCCATGGAGTCCATAGGGTTGTTTGACCCCATTGACCCCACTGTGGGTCCGTCCCTGGTCACATGGGTGTAGGTCTTTTGACATCAAGGGTGAAGCATGTATATTGTCACATGGGTGTAGGTCTCAGTGTTAGCTAGCTAGGAAATTATTGTAACTAGTTACCATTTTTAGTATGGCAAGTACGTGATGAGTTTGTTTCATGGAAAATCAGCAAGCAGCTTTTGGAAAATTTTGCAACCAAGGCTTTGATATGATATTTGGCCTTTGGTCTTGGTAGGTATAATTTATGCGTGTTTAACTTCTAATAGTCAAAGGTTGTCCAAATATGATTCACATATTGTGTGTAGACCAAATATGCAAAAAAGTTTGGATAAGGAGAAAAAATTGTTTGGATTTTTATTAAGAGGCATCAAAACTTTCGTTGTCTGTTTTTCATTGCCCGCTCAAAAAAATCAGCAAAAAAACATCGCACCTTTATCCAAACGAGCTGAGAAAGATGTAAACGGCCAGAACTTGCAGCTGTACTTGCACTCACAAAGGGCATGCCACGTACACTCCTCAACCAAAATTGATTAATTAATTATCAATTATATGGTCATAGTCAATTTTTAAGTTGATTCATATTTTACCCTCAATTTTGTGGGTAAATATTACTTAATTATGCATGCTATTTAGTGATTTAATTCTTTTCATTTCTTTGTATTTTTTAGAATGAGAAGATTTATTGGAGTATATAACATAGTTGAGGAAAATTGCGTGTACTAATTGAATTGATTTGTCAGTTGTGTTTGACAATTACAAGATGCACAGGCAATTACTTTACTTTAACAAAAGTAAAGAGGATCCTCTTTTCGAATTCATGCGTATTTATTGGTGCTTTGACATAATACAATATTCATAAGAAATGATATACAATATGAAAATAGATAAACTTTTGGAATGGAACCTTCAAGCGCATCGCTGTGTGATTTTCACAATTCTACGCCATCACTTTATGCCGACCACTTTCACAAGCAAATCGGTTGTTCTGTTAGAGAGTACAAGATATCCCATAGATATTCCAATTACCACCCCAGATGCATACCCCAACACTACCTTCCAATCAAATCCATTCTTGTGCTCCAAATCACCATCTTGTTGGAATGATGGTGGCGGTGATTGATGTGGACCACATGTTTTTGCTAGTGGAATTCCACACAATCCTACATTTCCACTATATGAATCATTTTCAAATGTATCAAATTGCTTGCCATGAGGTATGGGCCCCACAAGTCGATTTTCTGAAACGTTGAACTTTTCAAGTGATGTCAAATTTACCAATTGCTCAGGAATATGACCAACAAGTCTGTTTGAGGACAGATCTAACCATTCAAGATTGCACATATCGCCAAATGATGGTGGAATTGTACCTGTAAGCTCATTATGAGAAAAGTTAAGCCCTTTCAATGATTTAAGCTTACCGATTACGTTTGAAATCTCTCCTCTAAAAGTGTTGTTTGAGAAATCAATAGTTGTGAAGAAAGTTTGAATCTTCACCATTTCAATTTCGAAGCCTTTAATTGTCACTACCACAGTATCCTGATAGTAGCCCTCTCCCATATATTTCAGTTCATGTTCTTGCGAGTTTATCATGGCCGTCAAATGTTCAAAATATTTTGTTGGCAATAGACCGCTAAACTGATTGTAGGAGAGGTCCATGATACGCAATTTTTGGAATGGAAACTTAGTTTCCGGAATGCCTATTTCACCATAAAACTTGTTAGACCTCAAGATAAGAACCTGCAACTTCGGAAGAGATTCCAACCAATTTGGGAATGTGTCTTGAATTTTGTTGTTTCCAAGGTCTAGAACTTCCAACTCTCTACATGTGAGCAAAGATGGCGGCAACGACCCTTCCAACTGATTTCCATTAAGATCAAGATTTCTCAAAACGTTTCCCTCATAAAATGTCCCAGGAATCACGCCATGAAATTTATTATTCCGTAGATTCAAAACAAAGAGGCTCTGACTGAAATTCCCTATGCATTGATGAATTTTGCCACTCAATTTATTATTAGACAAATCAAGGATTTGAAGGCTACTCAGGCTGCAGATCGTTGGAGGCATCTCTCCAGTGAATTGATTATTTGATATGAAAAAGTTAGATGTGGAAAGTGATGGAATTGGAAGCTCACCTTGGAGCGAATTGTTGCGAAGGTCAAGATACTGGAGTTCTTTCCACCGAAGCTGTCCTACAGTGCCAGTCAAAGAGTTGTGAGAAAGATCCAAATAACTCAATGAATCTTTCCCCAAATCCAACAACCATTTGGGAATGTCGGCTTGGATTCGGTTGTGGGAAAGGTATAACATGTCCAAATTTTGTGAGGCTCTGAGAAAGTATGGGAACTCACTTATGTTACAAGACGACAAATCTAGAATCGAAAGTTGAGGCCAGGTGTTGTTAGTCAAATGGTTGAAGCTCAAGGATAGATGATTAAAGGAAAGATTAAGATGATTGAGACTTCGGAGTTTGGAAAACTTTTCAAACTCCACAGTGCCACTCAAGTTATTGGATGATAAATCAAGGGCCCTAAGGTTCTCAAGTTCAAAGATTGATCTCGGAATCAGGCCATGCAGCTTGTTATAACTTAAATGAAGGCCTTCCAAAGAACGAGATTGGAACTCAATGATATTACCGCTGAGTTGATTACTTGTGAGGTCCAACTCCTCCAATGATGGCAAACTACATAACCAAGATGGTATTGTTCCGTTGAGTTGATTCCCATCTAAATTGAGATTGGTTAAGTGTTGAGGAATAGGACCCACCAGTTGTTGTTTTGAAAAATCATATAACGAAGTGATCGATGTCGAGTTGCTATCAACTTCTGGAAACTGACCGACATAATTGTTGTCCTTAAGATCCAACTCAAAGAGGCTCTCAAGGTTTAAAAAAAACGACCATGGGATTTGGCCACCAAAACTGTTATACGAGAGGTCCAACCTCATGATTTGTGTGAGGTTACCAAGAAATGCAAGATATGATCCTACAAAACTGCAGTTCCTGAGCGACAAATCTCTCAAAGACTTGAAATTTCTTGTCAGATGACGCCAATCTACTAAAATTCTAGTAAGAGAGAGATCCAGCACCTCGAGGGGACTGCTCCAGTTAGACTTGGGGAAATAACCTGTGAGGTTATAGTTATTGCTTAAATCTACTAGTTGAAGATTTGTTCGATGGAAAATGCTTTCTGGGAATTTTCCTTGCAAGTTGCACAAGGAAAGTTCAAGAGTTGCCAAAGAAGAAGATAAATTCTTGAAGGAATCAGGTACAACTGATGACATATCAACTTTGGTCAGATAAAGCTCCCTAAGATTGGTTAGGTTTTCAACAATTCTGTTCAAGCTAAGAGAATCTAGGGTCACAGCAGGTTGTGCGAGATTGAGTGAAACCAAGTTGGAAAGGTGGGAAATTTCGGAAGGGATTGGGCCATTGAAATTGGAGTAAGAGAGGTCAAGGTGAGTCATACTTACAAACCCACCAAATTTGGACGAAATTGGGGAACCTCTGAAATCATTTTCAGAGAGGTTTAGCCTCTTGAGATGGCCAAGAGAGAATAAGCTGCTATTGGAAAGGATATTGCCTTGAAGCCCACCAAAATGAAGGTTGAGACCGATCACATGACCAGTCATCTTTTCACAAGTGACTCCACTCCATGCGCAACAATCCTTGCCTTTCTGCCAAGAAATTGTCCTATTAGAATAGGAGTAAAGAGTATCAATAGAAAAGGAGTTTTTGAATTGAAGCAAAGCAGAGCTGTCGTGGGGATGGCATAAATGCCCTGAAGAAAGAGAAGAGGAAGAGTTAGATGATGATGAACCAATAGAGTTCAATTGACAAGTAGTAGAGAGCAGGAAGAGGAGGCACAACCATGACAACCAACCCATCTTTCTTTATAAATCTAAAGTATATAGTTATGTGATAAAACAGTTGTGAGCAATTCTATACTGGATATATATGTTGATATTTATAACAAGCTTAATGAAAGTAATTTATCATCTTTAAAGATAATCAAGCATAATTGTGCCTTGTAAGTGTAACGATTGGGTGTCCTCTTCACATAGTTGGTCCCATTGTCACACCGGTATAGGTCCCAATTTGAAGTGCTGATAATTGACATTGAGGGTGAAGGCCTGCTACACCAATGTTAGCTCGCTTCTTTTTTTTTTTGGTAATATGTTCATGGAATTGGAAAAAATTTGCACCGAGTCTTTGATTTGTGGCCATCTTTGGTGTTGGTAAAGTTTGACGATAAGGTTGTCCCATTGTCACACAGGTGTAGGTCCATTGTTAGCTGCTACACCAATTTGAATTGTTGATAATTGACAATATTGAGGGTGAAGGCCTACGTCTATTCATCTAATTGGAAAAAATTTGCTCCAAGTCTTCCATATTTGGTCGTCTTTCGTCTTGGTACGTTCGTAGGCATTTATGCGTGTTAAAATAGGCACCTTAATTTTCATTGACTTGATAATTTGGGTTCATAATTGACCATCAAAATCGTTCTTATCTTCACTAATAGTCACCAGTGACTTTTGCCCCCTTCTTCACTCTCTCATTGATTCTTCTCATCTGCTTCTCCATGGTTTTGCTTGTCTTTTCACATAGTTGGGTGTCCTGCAACATGTACTATTCAAGTTGTCCAAATATGATTCGAATTTGCGTATTGAAGAAGCCGGAACGAGTATTCATAAATTGACCATCAAAATCATTCTTGACTTTTGCCCCCTTCCTCACACTCTCATTAATTCTTCACGGTATTGCTTGTCTTTTCACTTTTTGTCTCCACCCTTAAGCATTTGATAGGCCGGCCTTTAGTCCAATCTCTGAATGAACATTCAGAGCAAATTCATAAACAAAAATTTCTTTTAAATTTTTATTTATGAAAATCCATTATATTTCTCTAGGGCTAAAGAAAAGAAAGGAGTTAATAAATAAAGTCATCAACATAAAAATTAAAACAATCCTTCAGATAAAATCTAAATAATATAGTAATTAAATCCTATATAAAGCTAGCTACTACAACCTCTCGGCCACAGTTTCTTTGAATCTTGCTCAATCTTTCACATTTTCTTTGGTGCTCTCTCTCACATTAACATGCTAGAGTTTCTTGTGCCTTCCATTCATCAACTACCAAATTCCTAAACATGTATCATTACTAACTTTGAAGAAGCAATTACGGCACTAAAACATGTTAATGTTACATTAATTTCATTACCTCATTGAATGTTTCCGCAACGTTGTTTGCCATGAGGTATGAGCCCTACAAGTTGGTTTTCCGCAACGTTAAATTTTCAAGTGTTGTCAAATCTTTCAATGGCCCAGGAATCTCACCAACATGCATGTTTGAAGAGAGATCTAACCGTTCACAAGATTGCTAAAATTGCCAACTGAGAGTGGAATTGGACCTGTGTAAGATCATTATGAGACTTAGGTCCCTTCAATGACGTTTTAGGAAGCTCCAGAGAAAGCTGTTCTACTTCTTTTTGGGTTCAAGTATTTATTAACCGTAGTTGTATAATTAGGAGTTCATTATTAAAGAAATATATACAACAATTAATTTGTATAAGTACCATGTAATTTGAATTTGGAAAAGAGTTGGCAAGGCCTACAATGAGTCTCAATATGATGACCTCAAAGTAATCTTCATTTTAACTGTAGAAAATTCTCTTGATAAATTCAATTGTAAGAAGATAAATTTTTTTGGCTTCAATGCTAAAATAGTTCCTGTATTTTATCATGTTGGCCAATTTAGTCCCTGTGTTTTCAATTTGGCCAATTTGATCCATATGTTTAGCATTATTAGTCAATGTAGTCAATTACCGCTAAATAACATGATAATCAATTCTCCTTCTTTTGAAAATCTATATAAAAAATTAAAATTAATTTATAAAAATTGAATTAATTCAAAAACATATTGCAACTTAATTGAAAATCTTTTCCGACTTCCAACAACCATTTGGGAAGGTTCCCTTGAAATCGATTGTTGGAAAGGTTTATCTTGTACAAGTTTTATGTTGCAAGATGACAAATCTAGTTGCTGAAGTTGAGGCCAAGTATTGTTACTGAAATTGTTGAAACTCAAGGATAGATGGTTAGAGGAAAGATTAAGATTTTCAAGACTTCGAAGTTTTGAAAACTTTTCAAACTTCACAGTGTGAGTCAAGTTATTGGATGATAGATCATGATATCCAAGGTTAACCATTTCAAAGATTGATCTCGGAATCTGGCCAAGTAGCTTGTTTTAAAACTTAAATCGAGCAATTTAAAACAACTAGATTGGAATTCAATCATATCTCCGCTGAGTTGGTTACTTCTGAGGTTTAAAGACTGCAATGATGGCAAGCTACCTAATCAAGATGGTATTGTTCCATTGACTAAATATGAGCCACCAGTTGGTTTCTTGAAAAATCAAATAAAGAAGAGAATATTCTTGTCGGGGTTTGTTTCTTACCAAAACCAACAAAAAAGAAAATTCAAGCAAATTTATTGAAAATGCAGAGATGTTCGCTCAAGATAAATTCAAGCAAATTTATTCTTTCTCTTCTTTGGCTATTTAATCAGGCAAGTAGTGCATGAGAAAAGTGTGCTTGTGTATAGCAACATTAATTCGAAAAGAAAAAAAAAAGTAATATCCTTCATAAGTGTGCTTGGCTATTTAATCTGGCAAGTAGTTTATCTTCTTTAGATAACAAAACACCATTAATATCCTTTGTAAGTGTTACGGCATGAATTTGAAAAAAAAAAATTAAAATTAATTGTTACGGTATGAAAAGTTTCCAGAGGCTTGAGATGGATAATTGAAGATGTTGAATTGCAATTTGCATTCCTATTGTCAGATAGGTAGCTGCGTCTTTCATTTAGGTATTGAAAATTGACGTGAAGCCTGCATCTATTCAGCTAATTGGAAAACTTTGCACCAAGTCTTTGATATTTGGTCGTCTTTCTATGCTCATTTCATTTCTGCGTGTTAATTTTGATAGTCAAGTTGTCCAAATATGAATCTTTCTTCTCCATATATTAGTACGTTATCAACAAATTAATGGACACTACTTTGTCCGACTTTAACTTGATATAAAGGCATTTACAGCTTTGTATTTATTCGGAGACTTGTGCATCTTAATAATGAAAATAAGTGTTTGGTAGGCCTTAGTCCTTTAGTCCAATTTGTGAAGAGAAAATTCATAAACGAAAAAAAAAAAAAAAAAAAAAAAGGGGGTACCAACTTTTCTTCGTAGGAAAAGGTGGAACAACTTGAACGTTATTACTTGCACATGAAGTGTTAACTTATCACTCTAGCGTGGGATTGGGGCAGGGGAGAAAGGGGGAGAGGGAGAGAGGTCTCTTTTTTCTCTCTTTTATTTCCTTAAAAATGGAAAGACTAAAATACCCTTAAAAATGGATGGAAAATTGGATTTTGTAAAATAAAGGTGACATTTCTCTTAAATTTTTCTTTAAGATGACAAATTGAAACTGAGGTACAAGTTCATGTGACATTTCTACAAAAAAACACTAATGCTAATCACTATTAAGAATTGTGCAATCACAAAATAATTTAGGAATCATCTATTATATACGTCAATTAACAATTGTAAAATAGAACTATATTTTATTTTATCCCCTTCTTTACGTTCTTTCTTCTCATGTGCTTCTATACGACTTTGGTTGTCTTTCCACTGTCTGCCCTTACCCTTAGCATTTGGTAGGCCTTAGTCCTTTAGCTGCTACACCAATTTGAATTGTTGATAATTGACATTATTGAGGGTGAAGGCCTAAGTCTATTCATCTAATTGGAAAAAAATTTGCCATAGTCAGGTGTCCTGCAACATGTACTAATCAAGTTGTCCAAATATGATTCGAATTTGCGTATTGAAGAAGCCAGGAATGAGTATTCATAAATTGACCATCAAAATCGTTCTTGACTTTTGCCCCCTTCTTCACGCTCTCATTAATTCTTCACGGTTTTGCTTGTCTTTTCACTTTCTGTCTCCTCCCTTAAGCGTTTGATAGGCCTTAGGAGTAAATTCATTAACAAAAATTTCTTTTAAATTTTCATTTACGAAAGTCCATTACATTTCTCTAGGGCTAAAGAAAAGAAAGGAGTTAATAATTAAAGTCATCAACATAAAAATTAAAACAATCCTTTAAAATCTAAATAATATAGTAATTAAATCCTATATAAAGCTAGCTACTACAACCTCTCGGCCACAGTTTCTTTGAATCTTGCTCAATCTTTCACATTTTCTTTGATGCTCTCTATCACATTAACATGCTAGAGTTTCTTGTGCCTTCCATTCATCAGCTACCAAATTCCTAAACATGTATCATTACTAACTTTGAAGAAGAAATTATGGCACTAAAACATGTTAATGTTACATTAATTTCAACCAGACATCTATGATCACTGATGTCTAAAACTGGAAGTAGCATCATCATTTATATAACAACCAACACTATTGGAGGCTTTTTACATCCGCAAAATAGAAAAAGCGGTGACGTATAACATAATTCGCAGCAGTACTATTTGTTTCTGCGATGTTGTAATTGATAATACGCATCAGTGTAGTAGATACCACTGATGCTGTAATACCTCTTTAGCCTCCTCCCTTTTGAAACTACTGATGCTGTTTCAGAATTAGGCGTTAGAGGTCAATGTTTTTTTGGCACACGGAAATCATTTACGCATCGGATTTTACCAAATATCCGATGTTGTAACTATAAAAAGGCCACGGATAATATCTGATGCCTATTACATAGTGATAGGCAACAAGCATGAATACCACGATATTTATTGGTAATAGGCAATAGATTTTATCCATTGCTAAAGGCTTTTTTTGGCATAGTGATTGTGTTTTTATGTTAGGTCTGTCGTTAATGGCAGGGACGAACTCATGATTTTAAATTGGGTGGGCTAAATTTACATTATGCACAAACCTATTAAGAAGATAGAAAACTCGACAATACGAGTGAATTTCATCGATCACAAAGATATATCCTAATCAAGAGGAAATAATGAGCTTTACCCCTCAAAATGCATCTAGTACATATCTCTTTTTTGTTTTCTACGTGCAAGAGTGCTTGAAGTAAAGGACATGTTATTTTCTACCAAAAAAAGAAAATAGGGGTTGTTTTCGACCAAAAAGTGGGGGTTGTTTGTGTTTGGCTTTTGGCCACTTTTTGTGCCCCAAAAAAAGAGTGAAGGGTTTAGGGTTGAGATAATTGACCCTGACTTATATCTTAATATTTATAATGCAAAATTGCAAAAAAAAAAAAAAGAAGTCCAAAACAAAACGAGTGACCATATATTTTTGTTATTTGTAGTGTGGATGTGTGGAAAGTCATAGGCTCGTAATAGTGGAGTATCCACATGGCACAATCATCAAACCAGAAAAATGAAAACACAAAATGAATTACAGTGCATGTGCTCATCAGGATAATACCTTGCTTTGTATTATTTGAATCACCAAACCAGAAAACTGAACAGCTCTCTTTCCTCAAACAAAATAGCAAATCAGAAAAAAGAAGAAAACCATGTTCTTTGAGAGAGAGAGAGAGAGAGAGAGAGAGAGACAAATAGAGACAGAGAAACAGAACTTTTTTTGGAGGGAGATATTATGGTCTTCAAGAGCACAATGCGTTTGTTTTGGAGGGAGGAAGCCACGTTCCAGTGGTATGGTTTTACCCACTTTCAGTTACACTTGCTTCTTATCATCCGTTGGATTTGATCCAACGGTGTTCTGATTTAGAGGTTCGCAAAATGACGTTCCCACCAGAGAATAGCCCATATTCTCTTACCTGGTTGAGTCTGATTGAAAACTCTTATTAGCACTTTATCATCGAGATCATGTCGAAGGTTATTAGCATATTTACCAGCTTGATTCATCATGAAAAGATTGGACTAGAGTTAAAACTTCGGGAAAGATAGTATTGTTTTTGGGGCGTTCGTCCTCAATTGCCAGTCCAGCAATCGAGGTGGCAAGTGAATTTGAAGACATGATATTTTGGCGTAACTATGATGGTTGCTACGATTTCTTATACTTGCAAAACAGAAGGGGAATGGAGAGGTCATCAAAGATTTTATTATTTCGATAGTACAGTAAACGTAAATTGAACCTTCTGAATTTTTGTGTGATCATATTCAGTTTTTGTTTTATTGTATTTATATGGCCACAGTCAATTTGGGTATCCAACATATTTAATGTTTAATTTTTTTGATACAGATGAGTATAATTGTTATTTTCTTAAAAAATAAAAACACAAATTTTATGTTGTAGCATAACATTGAATAAAACGTCCCCACTCGAACCTTATGGAAAATGTATTAAGGGTAGGAAAAAAAAATTATCTTAGCCAGAAAAGAATCTTTTCCATGATTGCCAAGGGAGAAATCCACCTGGAAAAAAATTACGAAGGATGTGAATTAACTTGACAAAAAAAAACAGCGGGGTTCAATCCAGAAAAATTATAATAATGAGAAACAGATTTTTTCAGCCCCTTTGAAAGCAAAGGATCTGAACACATACCACATCCAGGACATTTGACGTAGTCTTCTTTGGTCAAAACAAGCCCTGACCCTCCACATACCTCACATCTTTTCTGTGCTATCTAATATATATATGCATAATCATCAATACCATATTATACCTGAGCAAAATAAATGATTAATTGGAAAACTTACTATTCTTCTGCTGAATTCAATCAAAGCCACCACGAAAGGTGTAACTCCAGCTGCCCAGGCACAAAAAAAATTAAATTAAAAACAAAAACAAAAAAAGAAATTCAAAATTCGATAATTCAGAAATAATTTACAGTAGTTATATAATTTAAAAGTGAAAATATACCTATGGCTCCAACAACAATTTGCCAAGTGATGGCAACCGGGGTTGGATCCGCTACAACCGGAACATCATGAATTGCTGCAACCCTCCAAGCTTTTGTACTTGGTTTTTTCGTAGCAAGCTCCTGGTTCTGGTTGCATGGTTTTCTGGTAAAGCTTGCATGCTTTGAGATGTTAAGGCTTCTTCCTGAGAAAGTGTTGTTGGAGGTACTTGGAGTTGCCATTTGTGCGAAGGAAGAGACTGAGGCTTCCATATTTGGTCGTGTGACGGTGTGATGAGTTGAGAGAGAGAGGGTATCGACTGAATTGAAAGTCACCACTGCTTCATATTGGGCCACGTTGCATCTACGCACTCATCCACTCATTAGGCAATGTGCATCAAAAATATATTTGCGAATGCTTGTGCCTTTTTCCCTCATTTTTCCAAAAAAAAAAATTCCCTCAATGTCATTTCAATTTTGATAATTATAATCTTATAATTTTATAATTTTAGCAATTAAGTCCGAATTAAGAGTAAGCATTCGTTTTTCTCTGTAACATATTTCACAGATTTATTACCGAGATTTGTTTTGATTAAATTAAAGACTTCAATTATATGAAAGTAATGAGTTGAGGACTTATGGTCAATTTTTTTAGGCTTAGATGGTAAAATGGTCCTTGTGTTTTCCTACATTGGCTAATTTAGTCTATGTGTTTTTAATTTGGCAAATTCGGTCCCTGTGTTTAAGACCGTTATTCAATTTGGTCATTTCGTTAAAATTGCCGTTATATATGAACATGATAATCTTTTTTTTTTCTTTTGAAAACCTATAAAGCTTTTTTTAATTAAAAAAATTGAATTGGTTTAAAAATATATCAATAACATAACACCAGAAAAAAAAAAAAAAAAAAAAACTTGAAAAAAAAAAAAAAAAAAGGATGGGCGCAGTGAGGGATGGTAAGTGTTGCTTAGCAAGTGGAGTAGTGGACAAATGGCTACGCAATGGTTGGGTTGGGGAAGATCTCGCTAGGAGGTAGTCGGGGGGTAATGGCCTTTTTTTTGTTGTTGAGAGAGATAGAGAGAGATTAGGGGTGGGATAGATTAGAGTTGGGGCCTTTGGGTGGGGAGAAAGCGGTTGGGGTAGGGGGATAGACAGGGTTGTGGGTTGTTGCTGGGGAGAAAGAGGGAAGAGAGAAGGGGTGTGGTGGCTGAGAGAGGCGGATTTTTCTATTTTTGTTTAGTTCTTAATTTTTTTTATGAATATTTAAATAATTTTAAAAAAAATTTAACAGAATGGATCAGATTAACTAACAGTCGTAAACACAAGGGCCAAATTGGCTAAATTGAAAACACGGAAATTAAATTAGCCAATGTAGTAAAACACAGAGACCATTTTAGCATTTAAGCCATTTTTTTAAAGTTTGTCCAATTTACTGTCAAAACATGTCACCCACACAATCACTTGTTGTGGATTAAGTTTTGTATTTTCTTTTTAAAACTTTTGAACTGTTCAAAAATGTCATATGTTCTGCACAATGTCACGAGTTCCACAATACTAAGATGTCAAGTACTTGAGTTTGTTTCCTGCAAAATCAGCAAGCAAGCATTTTTTGACATTGAGGGTGAAGCATCTATACTGTCACATGGGTGTAGGTCCCAGTGTTAGCTAGCTAGGAAATTATTGCACGTGATGAGTTTGTTTCATGGAAAATGAGCGAGCAAGCAAGCAAGCAGCTTTTGGAAAATTTTGCAACCAAGGCTTTGATTTGATATTTGGTCTTTGGTCTTGGTAGGCATAATTTCTGCGTGTTCAAATGGTTTTCACGTTTTGCCTCCAACTCCTACCAGTCAAAACTTGTCCAAATATAATTCACATTCTTTGTGTGGACCAAATGTGCAAACAAAAGTTTGGATAAGGAGAAAAAAATTGTTTGAATTTTTTAAGAGGTATCAAAACTTTCGTTGTCTGTTTTTCATTGCCCACTCAAAAAAAAATCAGCTAAAAAACATCGCACCTTACCCAAACGAGCTGAGAAAGATGTACACCGCCAGAAATTGCAGCTGTACTTGCACTCCCAAAGGGCATGCCACGTACACTCCTCAACCAGAATTGATTAATTAATTGTCAATTATATGGTCGTAGTCAATTTTTAAGTTGATTCGTATTGTACCCTTAGTTTTGTGGGCAAATACTACTTAATTATGCATGCTATTTAGTGATTTAATTCTTTTCATTTCCTTGTATTTTTTTGAAATGAGAAGATTTATAGGAGTATATAACATAGTTTAGGCAAATTGCTTGTACTGATTGAATTGATTTGTCAGTTGTATTTGACAAATTACAAGATGCAAGAGCAATTGCTCTACTTTAACAAAAGTAAAAAGGATCCTCTTTTCGAATTCATGCATATTATTATTGGCGCTTTGACATAATATAATATTCATAAGAAATGATATACAATATGAAAATACATAAACTTTTGGAATAGTTTCTTCAAGCACGTCGCTGTGTGATTTTCACTATTCTACAACGTTGCTTTCTTCCTACCACTTTAACAAGCCAATCTGGTGTTCCATTAGAGAGAACAAGATATCCCACAGATATTCCAATTACCACCCCAGATGCATACCCCATCAACACTATCTTCCAATCAAATCCATTCTCATGCTTCAAATCACCATCTTGTTGGAATGATGATGGCGGTGATTGATGTGGACTGCATGTTTTTACAACTGGAAATCCACACAATCCTACATTCCCAATGTATGAATCAGTTTCAAATGTATCAAATTGCTTGCCGTGAGGTATGGGTCCAACAAGTTGGTTCTTTGAAACACTGAACTTTTCAAGATATGTCAAACTTGTCAATTGCATCGGAATCTCACCAACAAGCACGTTTGAAGAGAGATCTAACCATTCAAGATTGCTCAAACAGCCAAACGAGGGTGGAATTGTACCTGTAAGCTCATTATGAGAAAAGTTAAGCCCCTTCAATGACTTAAGCTTACCGATTACATTTGGAATCTCTCCTCTGAAACTGTTGTTTGAGAAATCAATAGCTGTGAAGAAAGTCAGGATCTTCGTCATTTCAATTACATTGCCTTTAATTGCCACTGCCACACTGTCTTGATAGTAGCCCTCTCCCATATATTTCAGTTCATGTTCTTGCGAGTTTATCATGGCCGTCAAATGTTCAAAATATTTTGTTGGCAAGAGACCGCTAAACCGATTGTACGATAGGTCCATGATACGCAATTTTTGAAATGGAAACTTAGTTTCCGGAATGCCTATTTCACCATAGAATTTGTTAGACCTCAAGATAAGAACCTGCAACTTCGGAAGAGATTCCAGCCAATTTGGGAATGTATCATGAATTTTGTTGTTTCCAAGGTCTAGAACTTCCAACTCTCTACATGTGAGCAAAGTTTGCGGCAACGACCCTTCCAACTGATTTCCATTAAGATCAAGATTTCTCAAAACGTTTCCCTCAGAAAATGTCCCAGGAATCACGCCATGAAATTTATTATTCCGTAGATCCAAAACAGAGAGGCTCTGGCTGAAATTCCCTATGCATTGATGAATTTTGCCACTCAATTTATTATTAGACAAATCAAGGATTTCAAGCCTAGTCAAGCTACAAATGGTTGGAGGAATCTCTCCAGTCAATTGGTTGTTTGATATTTTAAAGAAAATTGTGGAAGGTGATGGAATTGGAAGCTCTCCTTGGAGAGAATTGTTGCGAAGGTCAAGATACCGGAGATTTTTCCACCGAAGATGTCCTACATTGCCAGTCAAAGAGTTGTGAGAAAGATCCAAAGACGTCAATGAATCCTTCCCCAAATCCAACAACCATTTGGGAATGTCGGCTTGGATTCGGTTGTGGGAAAGGTTTAACGTTTCCAAGTTTGGTGAGGCTCTTAGAAAGTATGGGAACTCACTTATGTTGCAAGACGACAAAGCTAGGTTCGAAAGTCGAGGCCAGCTATTGTTACTCAAATGGTTGAAACTCAAGGATAGATGGTTAGAAGAAAGATAAAGCAATAAAAGACTTTGAAGCTTTGAAAACTTTTCAAACTCCACAGTGCCACTCAAGTTATTGGATGATAGATCAAGGTATCCAAGGTTCTCAAGTTCAAAGATTGATCTCGGAATCAGGCCATGCAGCTTGTTATCACTTAAATCAAGCCATGACAAAGAACGAGATTGGAACTCAATGATATTACCGCTGAGTTTGTTACTTTTGAGGTATAACACCTCCAATGATGGCAAACTACCTAACCAAGATGGTATTGTTCCGTTGAGTTGGTTCCCATCTAAATAGAGCGTGATTAAGTGTCGAGGAATAGGACCCACCAGTTGTTGTTTTGAAAAATCATATAAAGAAGCGATCCCTGTCGAGTTGCTATAAACTTCTGGAAACTGACCGACATAATTGTTGCCACTAAGATCCAAGTAATCGAGGCTCTCAAGGTTTAAAAGCGACCATGGGATTTGGCCACCAAAACTGTTAGACGAGAGGTCCATGATTTGTGTGAGGTTACCAATCGGAATCAGGCCATGCAGCTTGTTATCACTTAAATTAAGCAATGACAAAGAACGAGATTGGAACTCAATGATATTACCGCTGAGTTGGTTCATTTTGAGGGATAACTCCTCCAATGATGGCAAACTACCTAACCAAGATGGTATTGTTCCGTTGAGTTGGTTCCCATATAAATAGAGGTCGGTTAAGTGTCGAGGAATAGGACCCACCAGTTGTTGTTTTGAAAAATCATATAAAGAAGCGATCCCTGTCGAGTTGCTATCAACTTCTGGAAACTGACCGACATAATTGTTGCCACTAAGATCCAAGTAAACGAGGCTCTCAAGGTTTAAAAGCGACCATGGGATTTGGCCACCAAAACTGTTAGACGAGAGGTCCAACCACATGATTTGTGTGAGGTTACCAAGAAATAAAGGATATGATCCTACAAAACTGCAATTTCTGAGATACAAATCTCTCAAACACTTGAAATTTCTTGTCATATGATGCCAATCTACTGAGATTCTAGTATAAGAGAGGTCCAAGGTTTCAAGGGGACTGCTCCAATTAGACTTGGGGAAAGAACCTGTGAGGTTTTCGTTCCCACGTAAGTCTAGTACTCGAAGGTTTGGTAGGCGGAAAATGCTTTCTGGGAATTTTCCTTGCAAGTTGCACCAGGAGAGTCTAAGAGTTGTCAAAGAAGAAGATAAATTCTTGAAAAAATCAGGTACAACTGATGACATATCAACTTCGGCCAGATCAAGCTCCCTAAGATTGGTTAGGTTTTGAACAATTCTGTTCAAGCTAAGAGTATCTAATGTTACATTGGATTCAGAGAGGTAAAGGTGAGTCATACTTACAAATCCACCAAACTTGGATGAAATAGGGGAACCTTCAAAATCATTTCCACGGAGGTCTAGCCTCTTGAGGTGGTGAAGAAAGAATAAGCTGCTATTGGAATGGATCTTGCCTCGAAGGCCGAAATTAAAGTCGAGACCGATCACATGACCTGTCACCTTTTCACAAGTGACTCCAAACCATGTGCAACAATCCTTTCCTCGCCAAACAAATGTCCAAATATCAAAAGAGGTATCAACAGAAAAGGAGTTTTTGAACTGGAGTAAAGCGGAGCTGTCGTGGGGATGGCATAAATGCCCTGAAGAAAGAGAAGAGGAAGAGTTAGATGATGATGAACAAGTAGAGTTGAATTGACAAGTAGTAAAGAGCAGGAAGAGGAGGCACAACCAACCCATATTTCCTTCAAACTCTAAAAGTATTTATTCTTCTAAATAATTTTGTGAGCAACTGTATCATGGAGATGTTGATATTTATAACAAGCTTCGTCAACAGTGATTTATCTATAATGTCACGACATGAGTCTAGTAGGTGTGGCATAAGGTTGTCCTGCATTTAAAGTTTCCACAGTGCTAAGATGGCAAGTACTTAAGTTTGTTTCATGGAAAATCTTTTGGAAAATTTTGCAACCAATACGTTGATTTGATATTTGGTCTTTGGTAGCTTTTGCAGCTTTGCCCCCTTCTTCACGCTCTCATCTGCTTCTCACCAGTGTCTTTTCGCTTTCTGTCTCCACCCTTAAGCATTTGATAGGCCTTAGGCCTTTAGTCCAATCTCTGAATGAACTTTCAGAGCAAATTCACACAGGAAAAAAAAGGAAAAAAATAAAGAAAAAGAAGCAGAGTCACCAGTGACTTTTGCCCCCTTTTTCACGATCTCATTAATTCCTCTCATCTGCTTCTCCACGGTTTTACTTGTCTTTTCACTTTCTGTCTCCACCCTTAAGCATTTGATAGGCCTTAGGCCTTTAGTCCAATCTCTTTATGAACTTTCAGAGCAAATTCATAAATAAAAATTTCTTTTAAATTTTCATCGTACTGGGATCTGTTGGGGGGTAGGGAGAGTTTGGATGTGGCTGTGGCTTGGGGATTTGGGGCTTTTGGGTATGGGTGGGGAAAGTAGCTAGGGTGGGTTGTTTCTGTGGAAAGAGAGAAGAGAGAAGGTTGTTGCGGTTGAGATTAATTATTTTTATTTCTTTTAACTTTTAAATCTTATTTTTATTTCTTAATTATATATTTTTTAAATTGAATTTAAATATTTTAATAGAAGTTTAATGGATTGTATTACATTAGCTAACGGTGCTAAATACAGGAACTAAATTGGCCAACCGGCACAGGGACCATTTTAACATTTAAGCCAGATTACGCAAGATAGTGGTAACATCCCTTCCAACTAATTTCCATTAAGGTCAAGATTTCTCAAAACGTTACCCTTAGAAAATGTTGATATTTATATGAATGAAGCTTAATGAATAGTAGTTTATCTTCTTTAGATATACAAAGCACCATTAATATCCCTCGTAAGTGTTACGGCATGATATTTTGTCGTCTTTCTATGCTCATTTCATTTCTGCATGTTAATTTTGATAGTCAAGTTACCAACAAATTAATGGACACCACTTTGTCCGACTTTAACTATATAAAGGTATTTACTCAGAGAATTGTGCATCCTAATAATGAAAATAAGCATTTAGTAGGCCTCTTAGTCCTTTAGTCCAATCTGTGAATGAACTTTCAGAGAAAATTCATAAACCAGAAAAAGAAGGTACCAACTTTTCTTTGTAGGAAATGATGGAACAACTTTAACGTTATGACTTTCACATGAAATGCTTATCACTCTAGCGTGTGCAAGTACGTGATGAGTTTGTTTCGTGGAAAATCAGCAAGCAAGTAAGCAGCTTTTGGAAAATTTTGCAACCAAGGCTTTGTCCAAATATGATTCACATTTGCCCTCTCCTTCACGCTGATTCTTCTCATCTCTGTGCTCCTGCTAACTTTGTCTCTGCCCCTAAGCATTTGCTAGGCCTTAGGCCTTTTGTCCCATCTGTGAATGAACTTTCTGAGTTAATTCATACAGATAAAAAAAAGCATTTTGCAGCTTTGCATTCTCATTTAGGATCACCATGAGAAAAGGATGACATAACTATATAGAAATTAGCTAATACATATGTTAATTGAAAATGGCTTTGAGATTAATTAGATGTGCATGCTCTTCATATGTCTTTTGTTTGGCGTGGTTTCCTTTGGATTTTTGCATTCTCAATTCGATGTTTTCTTTGGCTTCTTCGTCGTTTTTTCGTACAAGTTCGGATAAAGAGAAAAAATTGTTTGGATTTTTGAAGAGGTATCAAAACTTTCATTGTTTGTCTTTTTCTCTTTCTTTTCCTTTTGGGTTGGTTGAGCATTAATTCTTTTGTTTTTGGCTTAGCAATTTTACTCACTCACTATCTTCTTCATATTAATAAATTGACCACCATGTTCTGTCAATCTACTTTCTTAAGGGCACTTCCAGCAGTGCCCGAAGGCAAGGGCTAGGGGGGTGGCTGAGCCCAAAACGTGATTCCAGCAGCAGTTGTTGGCCCGGGCAGGATGTGGGGGCCACAGGCCTAGGCAGGCCCGAAGGCAGGGGGAGCCCGTGTGCTGGTGCCACGTGGCGGCTTCTGGGCTGTCGGATTTCTTTTTTGTCTTTCAAAGCCCAAAACGTGATTCCAGCAGCAAGTGTTGGCCCGGGGGGGATGTGGGGGCCAAAGGACTGGGCAGGCCCGAGGGCTGGTGCCACGTGGCGGCATGACATTTTTTCTGCAAAAAAACATGAAAAAAATTCGAAATTTTTTTTAAAAAAAATCCAAAAAAATCTGTTTTTTTTTCTTCTTCTATAAATACCAATCCCTACTCTTCACTTTTAACAAAAAATCCTCTTACATCTTCTCCTCCAATTATTATTCACTTTCTACTCAATATTTTTTTCACTTTCAAGTTTAATTTTTCTCTATCATATTATGGCTTTTTCTCAAGAAACCAGAGGGGCATGTAGCATCATGGAAGATGTTTTGAAATTTATATGAAATTTGAAACAAAAATTTATTTGAAATTTGAAACCGAATATTTTATCAGAAAATCTCATCCGAAAATATTGTCCAAATTAATTGTTTAGGTAAACAAATTTGCGAAAAAAACAAAAAACAAAAAATTGAATAGTACTTGCCCTTTGCCATGGCAACTGCTGGAATTGCAACTTACTTTTTGCAAAGGCAGACACTATTCACATGAATAGTGTCAGCTTTTTTTCTATAAATACCAATCCCTACTCTTCACTTTTAACAACAAATCCTCATACATCTTCTCCTTCTCCAACTATTATTCACTCTCTACTCAATATTTTTTTCACTTTCTACTCTAAATTTTTTTCACTTTCAAGTTTAATTTTTCTCTATCATTTGTGAAAAAAACAAAAAATTGAATAGTACTTGCCCTTTGTCATGTCAACTGCTGGAATTGCAACTTACTTTTTGCAAAGGCAGACACTATTCACATGAATAGTGTCAGCCCTAGCCCCTCCCTTGCCATGGCAAGGGTTTCACTGCTAGAAGTGCCCTTAGGCCCCATTTGGTATCCTATCCAAGTAGGGAACTCAAAAACTTTGATTATTTTAAAAAACAAAGAGTTCTAAAATCCATTTTTCAAGATTCAAAAACTTGTTTGGCATGCAACTTGAAAACAGTTTTTTAATTTTTAAAATTTGGGTTGAATTCTTCAAAACAACTTTTTTTTTCTTTTTTTTTTATAGCTAAGGTATTGATAAACATTATTGAAATTATACTAAACATACTAATTTTAAAATCTATATTTTAATACCATACATAAATAATGATCGTCAAACTCAATTGATCTTCAAGTCTTAAATAATACATATTAAATTAAAATATTCTAGACTAAATAAATTCTAAGACTAATGATATTGCTCCGGCTATCTAATCTCTAGCATCACTAATTTCATTAGCATTGTCCTCACTCATGCAAATGGTGTGTTCCCTGCTTGATTTGCACAAGGGCTTTCATCTAATCTCTAGATGAAGAAAGCCCTTCATCTACCACATCAAGATCATGCAAATTGTATAAAATTCCATTAGGGCCCCCAATAATGTCACTTCAGACACCATCATATTTGTATATAACCAAATTGCAAAATTGGAATGAGAATAAATCTTCACAAGTCTCTAACTAAAATAGCAGATAAAGAATTCCATGATATAGCTGAGATACAAAATTGCTATCACACACAACACAATCCATGAATAAAGAATTCCATGGTAAGGTATGCACTGTCATATTTCCTTCTTAGACTCTGTCAAATCTAACAACCCTTCATAGAACATAATCTACATGGAACCCAATTTCGGCAAGCTCATGACAACTCTATTCAAAGCTTGATTTTTCATAACAGTAGAACAACTTACAATAACCTTCAATATGGTTCACTAGCCATATGCTTGACAATACCAGGAAAATCCAAACTATGGCCACACAAATATGAAGAAACAATAAAACTGGCTAAATATAACTTAGAGAGAGAGAGAGATATATATACCTCTGTAATGCTCAACCAGTCCAAAACAAAACTCACAAAATCCACAACCAAAAGGAATCCTACGGCTAGACATTGACATTTGATACCTCTGTAATGTGTCTATGAAATTGATCAAAATGAAAACTTGAGTAGAAAACTTCTTCTGTAACAATTCCTACTAGTTTGAACAAATGCCTAAGAAAAAACTTGTGTACAAAATACATGATATTTACTGTCACATACTGAACAAGCTCTTATCAAAACTTGTCAAGTTAAGTGAAACGATCAATCACAATAAAATGAGTTAATTTTGACTGCATAGCTCATACTAATGGCAAGCTGATGTGCAAAAGACTACAGAATATAGAAGTTGATTAACATATTAAGACTTCTTTTTTGGACCAATACATGAAAAAAATTGCAGAGAAGCATCAAATGAACAATTCAACATAAGCAGGATTTCAGAAATTACAAGTAACCCATATGAATAGCATCACTGAGCAAATATCATTCAGACTTCTGAGTACTAGAGACTTCAAATGAGATCAAAAAACAAACAAAAACAACTGAAAAAATTGAAACCAATGAATTCTATAACCAGAATAGGAAACACAATGGACCCATAATGTCAAAATCTAAAAGCATTTCATCACTTTCTATGAAAAAATAATCAATCAGGTTACACACAAGAATTCATATAAATAAAATCGAATTAGATATAAATAAGCTATAAATCAAACATAACCCAAATGAAAAATAAACTCCAATCTTCAGTAACAAGGACAAAAAGGGAACTAAAAATTACCCGATTGTAGAGATCGAAGATGAGCAACTCCAGCTCACGACGAGCCAATGGTGCGCGCCTGTTCGGTGGCGTGTGACGTCGAGACTTCAACTGACAGAATCGCAGAGACGAGAGGAGGCGGCGAGAGCGGTGCTCAGATGCCCAGCCCTGGCGGAACCAGGAATTTTTCTAGAGGTGTGCTAAAATTTTTATTTTTATTTTTTGTATAGAAGATCTATAGAAACAATGAGAACCAATTTTTTTTTTTTTTTTTTGGGTATGCTAATTGATACAATAAGACCCAAGTGGGAATCAGAAACTGAAACTGTGGGAAGCAGAAACACGAACAAAAGTACAATTCATACCAGTAGC